TCTACTTATCCTGGCTGGCACACAGGCACACCTAATTACAAACCCACTGTGGGCCGAAGACCTTGGAGTTCTTGGGCCTAACTCGATCACCTCTTCTAGGCCTGTACTCTCCTTGAGTATCACTAGGATGGTGGGCGCTGACACAGTGCAGTAGATGATGGAGTCAGCGACGACACACGAGCCGTCGGCGAACATTACCTGCCCATGCTCGCAAAGGCACTCGACCTGGAGGTGCAGCTGCAGGTTGTGGTGCCTGGACACAGCCTTGAACACGCCGGAAGCGATGCCCTCCATGGACTTGATACTGATGTGCACCTCCGTCGCCACCCTAGAGAGCTCCAGCGCGATGTCCTTGCCGCTCTAGTGGAAGCCCACGATCACCACCACCTCGCCGTGGAAGGAGTCGGGGACCCGGTACGAGTGGGAGTGCAACTGCCTCCTGCTCCACTTGTCCATGCCGTTGATGGTTGGGAGCCTTGGCTGGGTGTACTGGCCGACGGCGACGACGACGGCGTCGAACACCTCCTCCGTGGTGACCGCCTCGCCCTCATGGTCACCATGTCTCGAGGACCACCTCACCGTCCACCGCTTCACGCCGTCGTCAGCGGCCCGCGGCTGCGCCAGGCCAACATGCAGGACCTTGGTGTTCAGCATGACGATGTCCATAAGCCCGAACGCGTCGTAGAAGTCCCTGATGTACCTCAAGAACTCGGCGTGCCCAGGGTACCGCCGGGCGTCGCTGGTGCCGTCGTTGCTGGGGAAGAACAGGAAGTCAGAGAAGGCCGTGAGCTCCCTCGGGCTGATGAGCCGGACAGAGGCGTACATGCTGCTGTGCGCACCGGCCGCGCCGAGGGGGTCGGTGCTGTCCGTCCTCGGGGTCGTACAGCCACTGCCCGCCGGCGCCACCGCTCTGCTCCATTACTGTCACGTCGTGGCCCTCGCGGAGGAGCTCGCGGGCAGACGCTAGCCCCGAGACACCAGCGCCGATCACGCACACCTTCTTGGATGACACCATCTGGCCTCATGTGACCTACTACATGAATTGGTGAACACATACACGCATCTAGAAAAAGAACTGAGATCTATTGTCTTCATTTCTAAAGAACAATCTTTGTTTGTAATTGTACTAATACACCCACATCCAAGTGATATGGAATTCAAAGAACACGTGTGTTAGCACAGCACCTGATGATGATGAAGATGAGAAGGAAAGACACGAACTGAAGAATAACATATGCAGAAGTTCATGCACCACCAAACCCAACTATAGCTAGTAGGACTGAACCAAACCAGTAGTCGGACCGCTAAAAGACCGAACCAGTGTTGGAAATAATAGCAATTTAGTGATGAATAAATTAATTCCGATAAGGCGAAAAAGAACATATGCATGTTTTAGACGATCATAAATAGAAGGCACTAGCACTATGATCTGAGGCGAAACCCAAATACACCAATGCTAGTAAAAGAAGGAACCCAAGACAAGGTAGATACATTCTTACGGTGGGGTTGTCGGCACTAGAAATAGCGCAAAAGTAGGCGAAGTAGACCGTCGATGAAGACCCACGAACACCGCGTAGAGGGAAGAAGACGTTCAACGAGTAGTCACAACGACGCTTCCCAAAAACCTGATACGGCCCCTACCCTGTGCAGGGACACGAGGGGATGTAGGCTTCGGAGACTTGCTCTCTCGACGCCGATGACATGTCGGCGACGGGATGGGGAAGACAGAGGCAGCGCAACACTGTGGCACGAGAGAGATGAATTGTATCTATACTGAGGACGACGTCTCATCCCAATATATACACACGTCGTAGCTAAGGTAAGTAATTAGCTGCGTAATCATAGCATTAAGGTGATTGACTTGTCGTTAGTCGACTAGAGCAATCACTTGTAGGTGTTTGATGACCGGCAACATGTCATGGGGCTACCCGGGACGGCGATTGGTGAGCTTTAGCGTATGAAGAACTCGGCGGGAAACACAAAGACAACGATTTATACTGGGTCGTCGGCTCATCGGAGCTGCGTGCCTTCGTGTACTATGGCGTGCGACATGGAGCGGCTGCAACTCATGTCCGCCCAACTTGGATGTTGCTTCTTGTTAGCCATGGAGGAGCCTTCCCATGCTTGCCGATGCTCCGCAACCTTGAGATACCCGGGTTGCTCCTCGACGACGCGCGCCGAGCTTCAAACCCCGAGAACCACCGCCTGCCGCAGCCATCCAGCGTGCGCCGGCCCTGACCACAGCCGTCGCCCGCCACCCATGGCAGCAGCTGCAGCCCGTCGCCCCTGACCGCAGGCTTGGTCGGGCCTCTGGCCATGGTGCACAGCGCGTACGAAGGCTTCCTCTGGGGCTCCGACTGCTCCCTACACATCTACTCCGCTTCTTTTCACTCCTCCGATGGCGGCGACAAGATCCATTGGGACAGGCCCTACGCCTCGCCGCCGCCATCGGGCACTGCACGGACCTGCAGTTCTGAGCGATCGCATCCATGGGTGAGGACGAAGGGAGAAGGTGGGACGGGCTTTGGGCAGACATGGGCGCGCCGGCGGGCGGGGACCATCTCTGGCGGGGTGCAGATTGGGGGCGAGGCAGGTAGGGGCACGCCGGCGGGTGTGGGCGAGCGCGCCAGCCGGACCATCTCCTAGCAGCATGTCCAGGCAGTATACATGGCCAACTGGGCCGCACGGCACGGCACGGGCACGGGCAGGCATGGCACTATGCGGCATGACAGTTTAGCCGTGTCGTGCCTGTTAGTGCTGCTGTGCTAAGGTCGTGGCCCAGGCACAACACTATGGGAGGTTAGCCATGCCGTGCTCCCAAGCACGGCAGCTCGCGCATGCCCGTGGTAGCCAGCAGTCGTGCCTCGCACTCGAGGCCGTCACGCCACCACCGCATCTTGCGCTCGTGGCCGCCACGCTGCCACCGCAGCAGCTGCGCCTTGCTCTTGTGGCCGTCGCGCCGCCGCAGCAATGCCTCGGGCGAACACCGCCGCACCGCCGCAGCGCATTGCCACACCATCGCGCTGTCGTCGTAGCCACGTCTGGAGTGGAGAAGACGTAGGGAGCAGGGGAGGGAGTTGCCTGGGACCCGCGGCTGCTGGCCTAGCGAGTGAGAGGCGGAGGGGTTCGGCCATTTTGGTCATTTGGGACTCGGAGAAGAAGCGAGAGAGAGAGAGAGAGAGAGAGATTGCGGTTGGGAGGGAGGAAAATGAGAGAGAACGAGGATGGAGGTAGCTTTTATACCTAGGTTTTCTATCAAGAGCTACGTCCAATGGTCAGAAATGCTGAAAGTTGATCTAACGACGGAGAATAACTGGGGCGACACCGTGCCATCCTGTTATCCGTGCCCTGCCTAGGCCGGCACTACCGGCCGACATGGCGGCCTAGGCATGGCACCACGACCGGGTCGTGCCGTGCCTGGGCCGTGCTTATTAGTGACGTGCTAGTGCCGACCCATCGTGCCCAGCCCAGCTGGCCAAGTATACCAGGCAGGGTGGCCCTCCTCGCCGCTGTTGGCCTCGACTGCTCACGGCACAGCCTCACCCAGCCGCTACTGTCACTGCTACGGCCACAGCCTCGCGCCGCCGCCACTCTTGCGCTGCGCATGCTCTCGCGATCCAGGAGGCCACCACTGGGTCAAGGCATCTACATGGAAACAGTCACGAGCGAGAGAGGCTGCAGCCGGGTCAAGGCATCCGTATTTGGGGGTGAAGGGGACTGACAGCTGGGCCCTGCGACTAGTGTGTCTTTCACTGCCAGGTTGGAGTGACACGTAGGCAAAACCGGGTGCCAAAAACCACTCCAGGGGGTTAATTAAACGGTTTGGGAAACTTTAATGTGTTCGTTAGATGGATTTAAAGTTGAGAGATGTAAGTAGCCCCAATGCCAAATGTGAGGGGGTTATGTAGACTTTGTCCTTTTTGGCTTGCTTACTTGCCTCCTATTTTGATCACTTTTTTTTTGGGAACAGATTTGATGGAGAATACCTAAATGGCCTTTGATGACAATGAAATATGAAGTGGTGGCTCACTCATCTCATTTACTGTGATGTGGCTCCGGCTCCATCAATTTTGCCTCAGTTTTGGCTCCAGAAAAAGCCATATGTGCTTGTTTAGTAAAACATTTTGATTAAGCCGTTAGAAAATCCATAATAAAAATCCTACCGAAGAGGGCCTAAATGTAATAATCGGTCAACTAGCGTGTGTATTATCCTAACTTCTATCCGTAATAATTATGAAGAGCAATGGACAATATGATGTATATAAGGAGATGATAGCCAAAGGATTCCAGAGGATGCGGTTTGTTACGAATTCATATGAATCAATCTAAATAAATGGGTTTTGAACTCTAAAACCAAAAACAAAAAGAAAGAAATAGAGACCAGTGCTCGGCGGTGTATGAAAATGCCACTCAGCATATGAAAATCCATCTTGGTATGCATATGCTTCGATAGCCGTCCGCACATGTCCTTTTAATAAGAAAAAAAAAAGCAAAGTAGCAGTAGTAAACAGAGGCAGAAATAACACACATCACGTGGAAAAATAAAAAGGAACAAGAATTGCTGACCGACAAGAGTTTTATTATTAGAGTGAACTCACTCATTCACACACAAGATAACAATAAGGCCACGTTTAGTTCCAAAAAATTTTGGTTTTTGCCCATCACATCGAATCTTGGACGCATACATATAGCATTAAATGTAGACGAAAAAAAACTAATTACACGGTTGGATGAGAAATCGCGAGACGAAACTTTCAAATCTAATTAGTCTATAATTAGACACTAATTACCAAATACAAACGAAAGTGCTATAGTTACAAAATCCAAAAAATTTCGCGAACTAAACGTGACCTAAGGTACTGACGATACAGATAGATGACGGCGCATCTACATCTACTACGACTTACTCATAAAACGAGTCCTTCATTCATTCATTTCTAATACTAGAAGGAACAACCAACAACTACGATATATGAGAGGCAACGATAATTTGATTTGATTTATAGCACCCAATTGATACTTTCTCGACGGAAGATGTAACGCAGTGACTTGTGCACCACCATCCTGAACCCTTCTTCCGATGATGAAGAGGAAGAGGGATTGGAACTGCAACCATCGCCTGCGCCACGAACCATCTCCACACCAGTGAGCAAAGCTGCTGTCTTGCCTACACTATTCTGGTACTCAGGGTAATCGTCCTTGACCACCTCATAGATGATCTTGGCAATGCAAAACCTGCCCTCGCCAAGGTCGAGGAGTTCGGCCGAGGCCGTGTTCCACCCCACGGGCGTCTCGAGGCCTTCCTTCCAGTGATGCGTCACTGTCACCGACGGTCTGTATTCACCCCTGGTGGCAGCATCGACGGCGCCACCGAGGTCCGACGACGCGCACAGGTGGTGCCTGTCGCTGTCGTCCTCGTCGCCGGACCAGGAGACACCCAGCCACAGCTTGAGGTCGGGGACGTACTGGGGCGCACCGAGGAAGGGCATATGCCAGTCGCTGGTGGCCTGCCGCATCCACTCACGCCCCACCGTGTCGAACAGGTAGGTGCCGCCGAAAGGGGAGGCCGACACGCAGATGACACGGCCGCCGTCTAGCACCGCGTGGGTGTAGATGGAGGAGCCCTCGGACACCGGCGGAGGTGGAAGGCTGTTCCATTCCCATGATGGATCGGCATCGGTGAAAGTTCTTGGGTTGAAAGGTTTTGGCTTGGAGTGGTCGAATCTGAGCACCTGGAAGCTGGGGTAGCCACTGTTGGAGCACATGACGAAGAGGTCCTCTTGTTCTCCAGGAGCACTGTCGGCGTCGGCGTCGGCATCAGCATCGTCGACGGGGACGGGAGCGGAGATGACGATGGGCCCGTAACCTTTGTAGCGGAGGCCGTTGGGCATCGACCAGGCGGTGTGCGAGTCGGCGTCGTAGAGGAAGGTGTTCCCCTCCTGGCTTCTCCAGAGGATCCTGCTCTCGCTGATGCGGGGGTTCGCCAGACCGAAAAGATGCTGCTCTACGTTCCTACCGACCACCGCCGGTTGGAAATTGTAGGTCGGCGGGGGAAGCGATAGCCTGTAGATCGTTGGTTTGGCCGCTTCTGCTTCCGCCGTCGACGGGTAGAAGAGACGCTGCGAGACGTCCAGGCGGTGCAGCGAACACACGCTGCTCATGCAGTTCTCTGCAACTAGGTTCACAAATCGACGCCGTAAGTTCATCATCTCTCCTCTCCCCGCTGCAAGATGCCCCGGCCTGCATCTCGATTCAAAATGGGGGAAAAGATTAACTTTTTTTAGAGAAATTCAGCTCAAAGATTCAAATCAAAGATGTGGAGGAGGAGGACGATCCCGCAAACATACCTCGGGCAGATCCGGCTGACTGGCTGTTGATGTCGAGGGCGGCGGGATCTGAGTAGAGGAGGCGGCGGGGAACGAGACCCTCTAACTTCGACCTCAGCGACTGCAGAGTACAGTCGGAGACGGATCACCGTCCGCTGAGGATCCAACGGAGGCTGCCCCACCAAAGTCTATAGCAGGCCAATTCGAGTGGCCCATCGCAGCCCACCACGCCAATAACAGCGACGTTCGTCTCTTTCCCTCCGGCCGCCGTCTTCGTCGTCGCAGATGTGCTCCGCCTCTCTCCTCGCCGTCACGGCGTCCGCTCGAGCGACGCGAGCTCCGCCGCCTTGCTCGGAGCGGACGCCGCGCTCGAGCTGCTGCTCTTCCACTGCCTCCTCGAGTTCGCACAGGTCCAGCACGACGGGGCGGCGGCGGGCAGGGGCAGGGGAGGAGCATCAGGACCGCAATGTTCGCCTCCAGCGCTGGTCCGCTGATGCAGCCCGTCGTCGGCACGCTGGTCTGGCTCGTCGCCGTCGCAACTGCTGCAGCCGGGTCCAGAAGGTGGTCATGCGGGCTGGAAGCATGAGGTGGTTGGACCTTGGATTGAAGAATTCAGTGCTGTAATTTGTGCTTACAATGTGTTCTGTAAATTGTGCAGCTGCTAGCAACTGTGCAGGAAATTAGATAGGAAAGGACAAGTGGTAGCCAAATCAGAGCCAATTGTACGTATTTGAATTGTGATGAAAATTGTTCTGGAATGTAATGGTATTACTAGAATAAAGAGAAGGCATTGCATTTTTTGAAACTTCAGATGCTGCAGAGCCAATATCAAGTCCATATGACATGTGAACTCTTTTACTAGAAATTAGTCAACCAGAAAGATCATCAGGTTGCAAAAATCAGTAATATATTCTGAGTTATGAACATATGTCAATATTTCTAAGAAAGTAGACCTGAACATGCAAATTATAGTGCTGAAGCTGAACATATATCACCAACGAAGCACACATACATGCTGATGCATTCTAAACAAGGAGCACAACTTATTCCACAATTGCTAGAACCCTTGCTTCCTGTCCAATTTCCTGCACAAATTCCTAACATATGAATGTAGTGCTTACAAAACACAACGCTTACAAGCTCAGGAAGCAAGGGTGTGGATGTAGTGCTTACAGCTTATTCCACAATTGCTAGAACACAATGCTTACAAGCTGTGGATGTAGTGCTTACAAAACACAACGCTTACAAACACAAAGTGCTAACACTCTGAAGATGGGTGCCGTTGAACAACTAGCTCAGGAAGCCCGGTGGCTCTCAGGTCGTTCTCCACATCTGGAGCTCGTGTGCCAAGGGGGCTCCACCTTGCCTGCGGTGGAGGGGAGAATAGGCATCTCACCAGCGAGTGCGGCCCGAGCACAGCACTTCCTGCGGATCGACGAGCAGCACAAGAGTGGCGACTTCAGTGCGGATCGACACCGGATGCTCAGCTCTGACGGTAGCGTCAGGGAGGAGGACGCCTGCGTGCAGCGGGGAGGTGGCGGACGGTGGGGGCTGGTCGGCGGGCGCCCGTGACAGGCGAGAACACGCACGGATGCTCGAGCTCGGCCGGTAAAGCGTCCGGAGGACCACGCTGAGTTGTGCCGCGGGGCGAGGGAGGGTGGCGGGTGGGCTGCCGCCGGGGGCTGGTCGGCCGGCTCCCGTGACGGGCGAGGAGGGAGGAGGCGGATCTGCATCTCTGCGACGACAGAGAGATTGGGAAAGAAAGGGAAAGATTTCCACGTCCTTATATATTGGCGTGGTGGGCTGAGTGGGCCACTCGAATTGGCCGCTATATGACTTTGGTGAGGGCCATCAACTCCCTCCAAAGCAGCAGGCTCGGGCTGGATCCTCGGTAAGACTTTTATCCGTCTCCTCTTGGCCCAAAGACAGAGTTATTTGGATATCAGTTAACAAAGACCAATTTACCGAGGCCTCTTTACTCTACAAAATTATTTTTTACATCTTTTAGAGATCTCGGTGCCTAGCTTGAGATTGGGGAAAACTCATTTTAGATAGAGCTAGTAGATTTCCATTCCTTATTATATGTTGATCATCTGAACTACGAGAAGCCTAGAGTGGAGAAGGAAGGAGGTGGTCTTGGATCATTTGCTCTTCTTCTTGTTGGGGCAATCAGCCACAAGATGACCAAACATCCCCCACACTCATAGATGATTTTCCTGTTTTCTCCTTGGGCCATCAACTCCAAATCTCCAAAGAGAGTCATTTCTTCATCATCAATACTTGAGCTCCCATATAAACTTGATTCTTTTCTTGGTCTTGCCCTAGGTGGAAGTGTGAAAGCTCTAGTTTGGTTTTGGGCCCTAAGTGCTAACCTAGTTTATCAAGATGATCCTCTTGGCCCAAAATGATAGCATGGTGATGTTATTTGGATATCAGTTAACAAAGACCAATTTACCTCCTTACCTAGCGTGGAAATCCCATTTTCCTCTTTACTCTACAAAATTATTATTTTTACATCTTTTTAGAGAGGTAAACTTTACGGTGCCTAGCTTGAAATTGTTAGAATCTTTTATAAACTCATTTTAGTGCTTATTTGCTAGTAGAAGTTCTCGTTATCTATTATAATTAATTAGTCGATGTTGATCATCTGAACTACGTAGAAGCGCGAGTGGAGAATCGTCAAGACCCTTATTGTTTTTCTTGAATGTCGTGATCTTGCCTTCCTTGTCCTCCTTGGACTTGCCCTTCTTCTTGTTGGGGCAATCAGCCACAAGATGACCAAACATCCCCCACACTCATAGCACCTTTGCTCTTCCTTCCTCTTAGACGATGATCTTCTCCTTTTGGCACCAGAACCCTTCTTCTCATGACCTTGCCAAATCTCCTCATAAAGAGTGTCATTTCTTCATCATCAATACTTGTCAGCTTGAAGGTAACTCTAGTAAATTGCTCGTATCATTGAGTTACCTCACTCTGTGGGTCGTTCTTGCGGTGTCCAATCGTGTGGACGAGGTTTGAGCTAGCATCGTGATCACTTGATTCTTCGTTCTTGGTCTTGCCCTAGGTGGAAGTGGCTTTGAATGCGACACTTTTTTCTTCTTCTTGTGACTTGTCATTCTCCTTTCACCTTCCATCCTCTCCTCACTAGAATTGTTGGATAGGTGGCTTGCAACCCTTGTAGAGCTAGAGCTATTTGTCATACTAATCAAATTGCTCTAGTTGATGCTATTCACCCCCTCTAGCTAGGCATGCACTATTATCACTCCTTTCATAAAACTAAAGGATGCGGCATGCACTATTATCACCTGATAAAACTAAAGGGCGGTGTCGACACAGAAATGTGGCGAAGTGTTCAACACACAGCAAGACGGAAGATCTAAATGGAGCGAAACTAGAGATCTGCTTAGCTTCAACACGAGGCCAGTCGATTCTGAAGATCCAACAACGTGCTAGTTAATTTGACCTACAATTGACAAGGGAAGAAAATTTTATCAGTAACTTCTGGTGGAACATGTCGGTGTTGCTCTAGACAGTTCCAAATGTACGGCTTTGAAAGCTAGTATGTGAGGCCATCGACTAAATAGTCGATATCTGATATGCTCATGAGAGAAAAACTCCTTAAAACAAAAGAAATCGGCTAATAATTCATATAGATCATGGTAACCAGCATCATGGATTATAGTGGATTTATAATGGTTGTTTAATCAAGACAAAAACGAGTACAATACACCCAAATACAAAAATTAGAAAAATCCTTTTTGGGAACTCCGATTGTCAATCAAATAGCCGATTTCAAGGTAAATAAAGTCATAGTATGCGTATAATCGACTATCAGGCATGATTAAGCTTATGAGCAAGTCAAATCTAATCTATTATCATCAACAGGGAGGTTCGATCGGGTCGATACAGCTATAATGACAATAACAAACTTCGAGATTAACAACTTATGAGCTTATCCATATCTGATGGTTTCTTGGTGCAAGCTATGTATATGAAAGTATATGCAATCGGCTAAACACAGCCGATTTCAGACATGGGAAATAAACAAAACACATGACTTAATCATAGATGAACTCGTTAATTAACAAAATCCGATTTAAAGTTCTACCAGTGAGGTTCGACCCGATGGATGCAGCTATAATAATGACCATAAATCAAATCTTATTGACTATTGAATTCATCTATAAACAATTCATGTCTCTGAATGCATACCATGTATGGTTAAGATTGATATAAAACAGCCGATCTAGCGAGACTAGTCGCCATATTTAGAATTTGATCAGAATATAGTCAAAAAATTTTGGTTTTTGCCCATCACATCGAATCTTGGACGCATACATAGAGCATTAAATGTAGACGAAAAAAAATTAATTTCACGGTTAGGTGAGAAATCGCGAAACGAAACTTTCAAATCTAATTAGTCTATAATTAGACACTAATTAACAAATACAAACGAAAATACTATAGTTACAAAATCAAAAAAATTTCACGAACTAAACGTGGCCTAAGGTACTGACGATACAGATAGATGACGGCGCATCTACATCTAGCTAGTACTGGCACACAGGAAGGAGGAAACTACGACTTACTCATAAAACAAGTCCTTCATTGGTTCATTTCTAATACTAGAAGGACCAACAACTAGATACTCCCTCTGTCCCAATACTAGTCCAGGTTCAGTGGAGAGACAACCAACAAGTTCAGACAATAAATGATGTACCTTGATATATGAGACAGAGGGAACGATTATTTTATTTGATTTGATTTATAGCACCCAATTGATAATATCTCGACGGAAGATGTAACGCAGTGACTTGTGCACCACCATCCTGAACCCTTCTTCCGATGATGAAGAGGAAGAGGGATTGGAACTGCAACAATCGCCTGCGCCACGAACCATCTCCACACCAGTAAGCAGAGCTGCACTGTCGCCTACACTCCACTCATAATCGTCCGTCGCCACCTCATGGATGATCTTGGCAATGCAAAACCTGCCGTCGCCAAGGTCGAGGAGTTGGGCCGAGGACGTGTCCCACCCCACGGGCGTCTCGAGGCCTTCCTTCCAGTGATGCTTCACTGTCACCGAGGGTCTGTATACACCCCTGGCGGCTGCGGCGACGGCGGCACCGAGGTCCGACGACGCGCACAGGTGGTGCCTGTCGCTGTCGTCCTCGTCGCCGGACCAGGAGACGCCCAGCCAGAGATTGAGGTCGGGGACGTACTGGGGCGCACCGAAGAAGGGCATTTGCCAGTCGCTGGTGGCCTGCCGCATCCACTCGCGCCTCACCGTGTCAAACAGGTAGGTGCCGCCGAAGGGGGAGGCCGACACGCAGATGATGCGGCCGCCGTCTAGCACCGCGTTGGTGTAGATGTCGGAGCCCGAGGACAGGGGCGGCGGTGGAAGACGTTCCCATTCCCATGATGGAAGGACATCGGTGAAAGTTCTTGGGTGGAAAGGTTTTGGCTTGGAGTGGTCGAATCTGAGCACATGGAAGCCGAGGTAGCCACAGTTGGAGCACATGGCGAAGAGGTCCTCTGCTTCACCAGGGGCATCGGCGACGGGGGCGGAGATGACGATGGGCCATTTACCCATGTAGCCGAGGCCGCTGGGCATCGACCAGGCGGTGTGCGAGTCGGCGTCGTAGAGGAAGGTGTTCCCCTCCTGGCTTCTCCAGAGGATCCTGCTCTCGCTGATCCGGGGGTTCGCCAGACCGAAAAGATGGTGCTCTAGGTTCTTACCGACCACCGCCGGTTGGAAGTTGTAGGTCGGCGCGGGAAGCGATAGCCCGAAGACCGCTGGTTTGGCCGCTTCTGCTTCAGCCGTCGATGGGTAGAAGAGATGCTGCGAGACGTCCAGGCGGTGCAGCGAACACACGCTGCTCAAGCAGTTCTCTGCCACCAGGTTCACAAACCGACGCCGCAAGTTCATCATCTCTCCTCTCCCCGCAGCAAGATGCCCCGGCCTGCATCTCGATTCAAAATGGGGGAAAAGATATTTTTTTTAGAGAAATCCAGCTCAAAGATTCAAATCAAAGATGAGGAGGAGGACGATCCCGCAAGCATACCTCGGGCAGATCCGGCTGACTGGCTGTTGATGTCGAGGGCGGCGGGATCTGAGTAGAGTCGGCGGCGGCGGCGCACAGAGATTGGGGCAAGATAAATTATTTCTTTTACATCTTTTAACTTTTAAAAACTGTTTATTTTTTCACTTTTGCTGGTTTTGGCGATGTGACGCCACGTTACAGGGGATAAAACAGACTAAGTTAAAGTTTAGAGAGATAAATTAGACTAGAAATTTTTTTTAAAATATTCAAAAATCATAAAAATAAATTTACAAAAAAATATTTAAATATTTAAAAATAATGCAATTAACAATCCTTAAATATGGCTTAATCTTAGTAAAAAAATTTACTTAAGATTTTTTTTTTCTAAAGTTGTTCTCTATCTTAAGGTGCCCAGCTTGAAATTGTTTGAATCTTTTATAAACTCATTTTGGTGCTTATTTGCTAGTAGCTGCTCTCATTTTGGTGCTTAATGGCCATTTTGCTAAAACAGGGCCGATCAACGAACCCAAAGATCTTGTGCGTATAGCTATCTTGTTCATACAGCTAAAAATGCAGCAGATTGACAAGCGACAAGGAAAGAAAAAAAAAAAGGCATGTTTTGGATCATCAGTCCAAAAAAGGAAGCATCTTTTTGGTCAAAAATCAGAATGCGCTCCAACCCCATTTCCCTGCACATGTTTGATCTAGAAGCTGCTATGTTGCCTTTTCTCCTTTTGCTTGTATTTAGCAATCCAAATAAACTAAATAGTCTATCGTAGTGGCTTCCATTGTGCTGCGTTGTAGGTGCAGAAGCTGGCAATACATGAATTGCAGAACGATGGAAGGCAGATAAAATTCCTATAGCATAATAAATGGTCAATTATTTTATAAACTCCACACCACTTCACAGTTATTACCGTGGTCCCTGACTCGATGCTGGAGAGGTCCACCTCAAGTGAAGCACGTCCTTGCTTGCTGAGGGACAAACTTCAATATGAGGAGACACAGTATATGAACCTCCCACCATTCAGGGCAAAGTAAGCAAAGCCACGCTTGCTGGGATCTCCAGGAGAATATCTTTCATTGTTGTACTCATCATAAACTACCTTAGGGTTAGGATTCTTCACAGTAGTCACAGTTGCTGGGAGGTCAGCATCTTGGCTCCTTGGGACAAGTGTTTCAGATGAAGAGAAACCTACATAACAGGGTAATAAAGAACTGTCACGCAACCTTATGAACAGATAAAAAATGATAGCAGAGCATTCAACCTGCACAGAAGTAAAAGGTAGATTAACATTGGCAACCGGAGGGACGAAAGCTTGGATTGAGGCTCCCTGTGGTAACACAGACCAGGCAGTGTGTAATGCCTTCCATCTCTTATTTCTGCCTTCAGCCAAATACACCAGTTAGACTTGCATCATTGACATAGTTTCCTGTCATTCTTTGATCTGAAAGAATTGGGTAGAAACAAAACCTTATCACTGGCTATTATCCATCTTGCAAGCAACCTAATATAGCATAACTAACTTGTGTCAGTAATGTTTCAGTCTGAATTTATGAGTACCACTAGTTGAGTGCCCGTGCGTTGCTACGGGTATCACTTATCAACCATCGCATGTGCATGCATGAATCAGTATTTTAACAAAAAAAAAAAGCTCACTTCAACTTTGCCGTGGTTCTTTTTGTTACAACATCATATATGTGATAGGCATATGTTCATTTAAACGAAGATAAGGTATTGCATATCATATACATGCCAATGTAAATATACCAAGGAACTCAAAAGAGCAACATACTTCTACCATGAGAACAACTTACTTTTCCAAGAACCAAAACTACATAAAACTTAAATATTAATTTTTCTCTCAATATTTTGATTTTTGAAGCACTTCGAGTTTTACAGAAGCACTTCACTGTGCAAGTTCAGCCTACAAGTCTAACAAAAAATGACAAAGCAGTAAAATAAAATCAAAAGGTGGATCATGTAGTTCACTCCCTCATCATTGAACCCGAGGAAAAAATACTAACTCATTGGTATAACACTTCAGTTCACCTGACCCTAAAAGACCATTTCCTTTTTTCCTCCGCAAGAAATCACAGAATTATATCCAAGGATCTAATTACTTCCCCCTACTCCTGTCCAGCTAAGAGTTTCAACATTACATCATTGAATCAAAGGCAGTAGGAGAATCTTTCTACCAAATCAATCCCTGCAATGTGACTGAATACTCTAAATGTGCCCAACTTAGCACCTTTAACTAACAAAATTGATACTATTTAGATGGAAAACAGCTTGATAACATTGACCAATATGGTTAGCAAATGTATATCTTGCAAGTCTGCAAATTCTGAGCACTGAGAAACTCCTTGCATGGACTATTGCTTTCTTCACAATGTCTCTCTGCTCAGCAACCATCTGTTGGCTGTACTCCCTGCACATTATTCAGTAGCAGTTTGTTTCAGTTTACAGTTAGCATTGTCCTAGCTAGTCTTTAGGAGGACAGGTGTGTAGTGTTAGTGGGTGATTGGTCATAGTTATTAGTGGTCAGTTGCCTAATTAGGGGATAGTTTCTAGGAGCCACTAAGTGGTTACTGGTGCCTAATCATGGCTCTTGCATGTAAAGCTGCTTTAAATAATATGCAACAAAAACAGAAAAGCTGCAAGTTCTGCAGCAGTACCATATCTCTGAGTAGAGCCTCTGATCTTGAGTGATCCAGTTCATAGTGAGGTTGATTGACTTACACCATCTCCTAGCAGAGCCACTGCACCATCTCCCTGGCCATCACCCGCTGTGCCCTCTCCACCCGTAGCGCGGAGATCTCCCTCCACAGAGCCACCATGTCCGCCTTCAGCACCTTGACCCTTGCATACAATCCCCCCAATTAAAGGTAATTAGCCATCTGAACCTTATTAAGAAAGAAATACATGTAAGTGCAACTAAATTTAAAGTAATTAGCCATCAGAACCTTAAGAAATACATGCAAAACACTCATGTATCATATAAATTTTCTAGACTTGTATTTTAGGCAGGGCTAGTATCGAAGTGAGTATGATAGCAGGTCAAACTCATGCGCATTCCAGCTGCATTGGGATCAAAGACATCAAGGAAATCTTCGATTGAAACCTTCAAATATATCATCAAATTTGCTGAAAGAAATACATCAGGTCAGATGATAATATCCATATCCTCATGAAACTGCATAATAAGAAGTGAAGAAGCAATACCAATGATCATCTCAAATTAGAATGCTAAAATTTCCAGTTTAATGTTTAAGAAGTGTTGAAAGAAATACATCAGGTCAGATGACAATATCCATATCCACATGGAACTGCATAGTAAGATGTGCAGATGCAATACCAATGATCACCTCAAATTAGAAAACTAAAATTTACATTTTAATGTTTAGAACTTAGACAAACTGCTTCAGATTCTTAAACAAGTAGTTCCCAACAAAAAAAACAGGAAGTCGCAAATGAAAAGGATGTTTTATTATGGTAAGGAAACAACATAAAAATCAGGCGAACAATTATCCTCATTAGATTGATTGATCTCTTATTTTTGCCAAACACAGTAGTTTTTTTTTGGATTGATCTCTTATTTCGACCATATACAGCAGTTTACTAATATGATTTTTTTGACAGTTTCATCTCACCTGGGGATATCCACTCGTCAATTGGGAATCTCTACCTGAGTACTTGTCAAGGGTGGACACTGTGATTCCAGTGGTGAATCCCCTGATTCCGGAGAGCCAGCTGGATGAAAAAAGCAACCATATGCTATGCTATCAGACAAATGCAGGAGACTCTGGAGCTCAGTTGTGGATTTGGTGATAGCTAACAAGGCAAGGGATTACTGCATTGCAAAATCCTTGACAGCAGAGAATCTTCTGGTATCTAGACTTTATGGGACAGTGGCTCTGAAATGTCCTATAACTGAAGACTTACCAGTTGTATCATCTGAATTCCAAGGATTTAAGGCTGTGGCACATCTTTTTATTGAGATGGTACATCACACTAATGGCCGTGGTACACTTGGTCAGTTAAATATAGATGTCGACCACTGGCTCACAGTTTTGATAGACTCAGGAGAAAATGATGGCATTGTTACAAATTATCATCCTGCATGTTGAGTGTAGAAGGAAGGGCATGGCTCTCTGAGGAACTATGCGCAAAATTGCCGTTTTTTGGTAAAGAAATGAAAAGCTGTTGATTTTGAAACCCTTGGTTACACAATCGAAGAATTGGATTCAATGCATGAGTTCTTTCAAGAATGGTGTATGCGCTCCAAGGAGTTTGCTGAAAAAATGAGAGCCGCTAAAACCCAAGAGGATCCAAACAATCAGCTTCAGACTCCAGAGGATCCAAACAATCAGCTTCAAACTCTAGAAGATCCAAACAATCAGCCCCCTCAGACTCCAGAGGATCCAAATAAAGCCTTTGAACAAGGAGGGCTCTAGGTTATATCATTGCACAGACATTCAGTGGTACACTCCCACAGTCAGCAGTTGTTTAAGATATGTGGTTTCACAAGATATACCCCAACCGATGTAGTTCAACTGATGCATTATAAGATACCAATGTACCTCCCACGGGCTGTCAAAAACTGGAAGTCCCACTTGCGGCAGTATTTTGATATTGACAGCTGTCGTCGCAGAGTCCCAGTGTACCCACGGATCTTGTTCCCAAGGGTTTAGGTGGGGGAAGGTACAGAGACCCTTTTACTTACCTTCTATAAGTTCTTTTTGAATTTATTGCTTAGCTGATTAGTTTTTTTTTACAACAGACATATTTATTTCATTCCAGGAGCATTTAGGTGGATGCTCCTGGATCCATGTTGGGGAAGCATCTAGGAGCTAAGATGCCTGTAGATATTTTTATTTGTGCATTGACCATTCTTGGATGGAATCCATCTCAGAACATTCTGCTCTTGACTATGGACATGGTGAATATTAGTGATAGCCTGAACAGCCTGGTTATAAAAAATGTTAGCTATGAGATTTACATTACAGGAATGAGTGTTAATTTAACTGATTAGTTGAAGCACATATCCTTTTGTGATACTTTCTAATGTTTTTTATGAACCGTCTTTTAGGTACTGCTCACTTACCAAGCTTATTTTTTGAGCCTCACTTACCAAGCTGCACATACTCATGGGTACTTCTTTTATCCCACGACAAGTTTCTTCGCCTTTTGTTTGAATCAAGTTTCCTGCTGAAAAAAATTGTATTGACTGTCAGTTCAACTCAACCGTTAGTGCTTCTAGCTTCTGCCACAACTTCTAAATTCAGGGATTTAGGTCTAATTTTCAGCACTCTTGTGAAAAGGATATATATTGAATGGATGTTGCTAAGCGCTTTATGAATTCAGGGATTTAGAGTCTGGTTTCCAGCAGTTTTAACTCATGAAAATGACATGTTGATGACATGGTGAATGTATGCTGTTGTACTGATGTTTTTATCCTTTTGATTTCTGTCTGGGTTTTTACCATGCTAGATTTTGCGGTTTTCACTGGTCATGGTTAAATTTACCATGACTTAGACCACTTAGGTGGGTGATCTATCTTATGGCCAAAATCGCAAAATCTATATGGCCTTGCAATCACATCCACCTCAATCCAGCCAAAGTCTAAATCCCTGAATTCAGAAAGCGCTTAACAACATCCATTCAATATATGTCCTTTTCACAAGAGTGCTGAAAACTAGACCTAAATCCCTGAATTTAGAAGTTGTGGCAGAAGCTAGAATCACTGACGGCTGAAATGACAGTCAATACAATTTTTTCAGCAGGAAACTTGATTCAAACAAAAGGCGAAGAAGCTTGTCGTGGGACAAAAGAAGTACCCATGAGTATGTGCAGCTTGGTGAGGCTCAAAAAACAAGCTTGGTAAGTGAGCAGAAATGAAAGACGATTCATAAAAAACATTAGAAAGTATCACAAAAGGATATATGCTTCAACTAATCAGCTAAATTAACACTCGTTCTTGAAATGTAAATCTCATAGCTAACATTTTTTATAACCATGCTGTTTAGGCTATCACTAATATTCACCCTATCCATAGTTAAGAGCAGAATGTTCTGAGATGGATTCCATCCAAGAATGGTCAATGCACAACTAAAAATATCTAAAGACATCTTAGCTCCTAGATGCTTCCCCAGCATGAATCCAGGAGCATCTACCTAAATGCTCCTGGAATGAAATAAATGTCTGTTGTAAAAAAAACTAATCAGCTAAGCAATAAATTCAAAAAGAACTTATAGAAGGTAAGTAAAAGGGTCTCCGTACCTTCCCCCACCTAAACCCTTGGGAACAAGATCCGTGGGTAAACTGGGACTCTAGGACGACAGCTGTCAATATCAAAATACTGCCGCAGGTGAGACTTCCAGCTTTTGACAATCCGTGAGAGGTACATTGATACCTTATAATGCATCAGTTGAACTACATCGGTTGAGGTATATCTTGTGAAACCACATATCTTAGACAGCTGCTGACCGTGGGAGTGTACCACTGAATGTCTGTGCAATGATATAACCCAGAGCCCTTCTTGTTCAAAGGCTTTACTTGAATCCTCTAGAGTCTGAGGGGCTGATTGTTTGGATTTTGTGGAGTCTGAAGCTAATTGTTTGGATCCTCTGTAGTCTGAAGCTGATTGTTTGGATCCTCTGGAGTCTGAAGCTGATTGTTTGGATCCTCTTGGGTTTTAGCGGCTCTCATTTTTTCAGCAAACTCCTTGGAGCGCATACGCCATTCTTGAAAGAACTCATGCATTGAATCCAATTCTTCGATTGTGTAACCAAGGGTTTCAAATCAACAGCTTTCAATTTCTTTACCAAAAAATGGCAATTTTACGCATAGTTCCTCAGAACCATATAGAACTTTACAGAGAGCCATGCCCTTCCTTCTGCACTCAACATGGCAGGATGATAATTTGCAACAATGCCATCATTTTCTCTTGAGTCTATTAAAACTGTGAGCCAATGGTCGACATCTAGAGTTAACTGACCAAGTGTACCACAGCCATGAGTGTGATGTACCACGGCCATGAGTGCGATGTGACTTTGAAGACAAGGAGGATGGCATAAATCACATTTTGTGCAAAAGCCTTCCTTGTGATTGTAGAATTCCCTGCGTTAAAGTTCAAAATTAATAGTGCCAAAAAAACTAATCATTGGTGATTGAAAAAAGAGGTGGTACTAGAAATACTGTAAAGAAGACTTAGTTTACCTTCCCATGCCTCAAAAACAGATGGGACTGGTCATGATGCGCCTCATGTACAGATATATCAAGAACCTCATTGCCAATCAGAAGCTGCATACTTCCATCCTTCCATTTTACAAAGCGTGCATTGCTTTCATACTGCAATAAACAAGTGCCCAAAGCTTAGTAACCAGAGTAAAAAGAAATGAAATCTCAGAAAGCCAGCGAAGAAATTTATTTATCATAAGCACGTAACCACCTATACAACCTGCACAAGGTTAAATGTAACTCTCAAATAGAAACTGATAATTTGATGGGTGTCCTATGCACAGACAGCCAAAGTGAGCTGTAAAGTTGCTTTCTTTGGACACATTTACCCCAAATAAAAAAAAAGGAAAAATACAGTTAAAAACAAAATAATTGCAAAAATCAAGACACAGGGAAGAGGTCAGTCCAAGTATCATCAGTATGTTAGTGAATTCCAAGACTAATTGATACATGGACAGCATTCCACTTACAGATGTAGTGCCATCTGCATTCCTAACGGTTCTCCACCGCACAATATTGTCCTCTAGCCGTATCCTTTTCTTAGTCCCAGATTCATCTGTAACAAAAGCATCTTCTTCCACATATGTTTTTGGATCAAAGGGTTTAGGGTCGATCCCCATAATGTTTGATACCTTGATCACATTCATCTACAAAATAGGAAACAGTTAGTGATCAATACATATGTGAGTAGCTACAAAAGCACAAACCTTTGATCGTGGATGATAAAATTCCTAGCCAAGCATGGAAAGTTCCAAATACAACATGTTTGCTATATTATCAGATTTAACATAAAGAGAACAGCAACCATTCGCATGCTCTTTTGGACAAGTATAAGTGAAGTGCTCAGCCAAATGATCAAGTTCCATGCTTCTTCAATGAAATTACACTAGCCAGGTAGCAAGGTGTATGTAACTAGAGAACATCATCTATGTAACAAGCAGCAGATGGTAACATCGTAGATACCAAGGAATATTAAACAATATAATGCAGATATAGCAAGATAAAACATGATACAGTATTAAAAAACATTAAATTCTTGGACACAAAGAAGGCAATACACCGTAGCCTATAAACTCATAAAAAGCTTTATTAAACTACATGCCCCAAAAACATGAAAATTTTAAATTAAGAGCAACAATCAAATGATAAACATCAATAATGTACAACATGAAATTGTCTCATCAGAAAAGGACAGCAATGGTATGTGGCCAAAGATGGATTAAATGTATCATCATATGACAATAAATAACTCACTTTGTCAGGTTCAGCTGGTGGTTGCTTAAATGGAACCACCAAGTCTAGCGGTGGACAGACTGGTTTCTCTTTTGGTTTCAGTTCACGATTATCATCAGATTCATATCACACATCTTCATCAGCCACAACGTCATCTGGTTGCATGTCCTTCTCATACTGGCCTTCATCCTCCATGGGAGATCTCTACAAAAGAAAAAGAAATTTTATTAAGCACAAGAGGAGTTTGAAAAAGAAAATACTATAGAAAAAGATAACAGGTGAATATTTCTCAAAGCTGAAGGAGTGTGGATCAATACTCATGCAGCAAGACACGAAGAGAAAACATAGCTTCCATTCAGAATTCAGACATATCAAGTCACAACAAGAAATGCTCTCATGGGAACTTAAAATATCTCAGATCCATATATGTGAGGTGAAACACTGAAGGTTAAAGGAAGACAAAATAGTGAATTTGCTGAGTCTATTCTCTGCATGCTAACCTGCATTTATGTTCTGTTAAAACTAACATGCTATGCAGCAGATCGTAGCTATCTAGAGACATAATTTCAAGCAGGAAGTTCAAATAAAAACGAAAAGCTTTAGGGGTAAGTCTGATGAAGGATTCTGCTACACACTTTGAATCTTTATTAACGTGGCTATCCTTACTTCTTACCTAAAATCGGCAAATAGAAAGGGCAGCAAACATGAGTGAATCTTACATGAGATTCTTCATCAATTTCATGCCTAGCGCAATATGGAGCTGGTTCATCTTCATCACTCACCAAACACATCGCGAACTACTTCATGATCTCTTTCTTCCTCCATTGGAGAGCTGCATAATAATAAGATTATTACTGTTACAGACAACTACAGGATTAGGAAAAAGTCAGAATAAACAAAGAGTGTGTATGATGATAAAGTAATTGCCCAAATAACTAAACATTTGTGAACCATTGAATTGGGTACTAAAAATTGTAAAGCCTAAAATGGATACTGATATATACTTTGATATGTAGCATTATGTTTTTCCCTCCTAACCTTTGTTTCCTTGTTTGGCAAGGTTCCTCATCTTCTTGAGCTCCATCAGCATAGTAATTATCTTCAGATCCCTCCGATTCAGAGGCAACAACTCCCCTTCTTCTGCTAGATACTGTCCTCTGCTGGTAGCCTTCATCTTCACTATCCATTCCTCTTGCATCAGGTTCCATCCTCTGGTCATCGAGCTCTCTTTCTGGGGAGCTGTGGACTTTGTCCCCACCACTTTCTCCTTGATCAAGATCGGCACGATGAGCTTCACCTTCACTTTCCTCTTCCATTCCAACTTGCCCCTCACTTTCGCCTTCACCTTCCCCTCCATTCTCTGCCTCGCCATCCACTTCTTCCTAGATAAATATGTATTAAATAGGTTAGTGTTACCTCAGGAGGCTTTCCTTAACTACACAGCATTAGAATGTTGGAGCAGTATGTAAGGATGAACAGCTTGGGCAGAAAGGAAAATTACATGAGCATTAACCTTGAACTCCTTAGTGACACTAGCAGAGCACAGTGGCCCAAATTCTCACCAAGATAGGGCCAGTGTTGTTAAGATCAATTGGTACCACTTGAAATTCCCCAAAATGTAAATAGATTTACAGTTTAGTAATTTGCAGCTTGGTGCGTTGAGTGTAGAAATCAACTAAACTACAGTTTTCCTAAACCCAACCGAGTAGCAATGAAACTCGTATAGCAAAACAGTGTTATCCTCTTGTAAATGCGACGAAGCACATGGACCTTGTGAACCTGAAACTCGATTTTGTTTTTTCTTGTCCTAGTGTTTGGATTTCGTACTACAGACGACTGGACTTGGGAAGAAAATGAGGCAAACAAAATCATGTATCCATCAACCTCTCTCTGCATACACAGCCAAAAAAAATGGATCAAGCGCGACTCATCTCAGTAGAATTCAAACAAATTCGCACCGACTGTACCCCCACCCACCCACCCACAAAAAAAAAACTGCATCACCAGCCGCGAGGGTCCCGGCCGAATCCGAAAACCTAAGCCGTAGCCCAGCCCCAGGCAGGTCCGACGGGGAACAGCAAAGCAGCCGAGACGAATCAGAATCACGGGGAGGAGGGAGACGGGAAGGCTTACGGAGTGGTATCCGCCGTGGCGTGCGTGCGCGTGGCTGCGGGCGTCGTCCTCCTCGTCGTCTTCCAGCTCCTGGTGGTGTTGCGGGGGCGACTGCAGCTGTTGCTGGTGGCCGTCGTCCTCATCGACGACCTCGACGACGTCGTCGTCGTCGTCCGCGTCGTCCTCGTCCTCCGACTGGTCCCCGAAGAGGTTCTGCATCATCTGGTTCCGCGTATCCTCCTCCGCGTCCCGCTCCCGATCGCCGCCCGCCATCGCCGATTCGCCGCCGCCGACTCCGCCTCTCGTCCACCTCACCGGCGTGTCCTGTCGTTGTGGTGCGAGGTAGAGGTGTTGTTGGGCCTTACCTTTTTCGAGAGGCCGAGAGGAGTTGTGATTAGTGGGCTCTGGGCTTTAGGCTTTGGGCTTTGGTAGATGTACGTGCGTTGGGAATTGCTTGGGCCGGAAGGCAAAACTGGGATGTGGTGGTAACGTCTGACTTTTTTTCTTTTTCGATTTTTTTATCCTGAACAATCGCATAACTCAAGGTTTTCTCTTCTAACTCCAAAACCTGATAAATTGTCTCAACTCTTAATAATTTTTCATCTAAAAAATATGGCAACACTTGATAAGGTTTCTAATAAACCACAAAGATTATATCGGCTTCTAAAAAATCCAAGAGAAATCATATGGATAGATTTGTACACAATAAACCCGAAAAAATTAGAGCTCATCAAAATATATCTAGAATCTTACGGAAGTAAGATTTAGCTTTAGGGAAATGATAAATATCTACAAAAACATAAAAACTTTCCTAAACATTTCAATTGATGTCTAAATGTGTTTTAACAACTTCTCGCAACAAAATTATGAGATGCAACGTGCAACTAGTGTGAATGCAACATGCTTCAACGTGAATGCAACATAAATCAATGTCTAATAAATGCATGATTGGACACATCACATGTTTTTGTTGTAGAAAGGTTTCAAAATATTAAGGACCCACATAATATTAAGGACCTGTTTAGGAGGGTTCCGACTCCTCCCTCCTCTTAAGATGGCTCTGGCTCCTCATGTGAAGTAGCTTTTTTGGGAGTAGAAGTTGTTTTGGAAAACGTTTGGCAAAAACAGCTTTGAAAAGATCAAGATGTCCAAGAGGAGGGTGAATTAGGCTAATTCTAAATTTTTTGCAATAATTAAGCCCTACACTTAGTCCATTTCACCCCTAGTGCCTAGAATATGTTTCTATTGTTCCGCCGCACAAAAGTTTTACACTATAGGTTTCAATCCTACTCTAGCATGGCAATTCTATGAATGTAAAGACATAAAATGAATTGCTCAAATGTAAATGCTCAAAGTAAAGAGAGAGAAAGGAACACGGCGATGTTTTCCCAAGGTATCGGAGAGTCGCCACTCCCCACTAGTTCTCGTTGGAGCACCTGCGCAAGGGGTAGCTCCCTCTTGATCCGCGCAAGGATCAAGTGCTCTCTATGAGTTGATTCTTTGACACTCCGTCGCGGTGAATTATCCACAACCGCTCACAACATGACTTGGGTCATCCACAAGCTCTGTCGGATGATCACCAAGCTCCCAATCACCACCGAACCGTCTAGGTGATGGCGATCACCAAGAGTAACAAGCACAAACTCTCACTAGACCGAGACAAGCCTAATGAGAAATGTGGATGCACACTTGCTACTCTCTATGCACTAATAAGGTCCTTAATCTTGGATTATCAAATCTCAATCACCCCACTAGGCTCTTTCTCTCCCTTGCTCTCTAAAGGTGTTTCTCAACTCAATAAATGGGCAAAAGACCTCAAATGGTCGAGTGGGATATGTATTTATATCCCCCATTCAAAACATAACGGTTGAGGTCCAACTCAGCAAGTATCGGACTGACCGGACGCACCGATCAAGGTGACCGGACGCTCCGATCAGTGTAACATGTCAGCATGTCAGAAAGAGCCATTTACTCTAACCGGACTCAGATCCGCGTCCGGTCAGCACCCACCGGACGTGTCCGGTCATAAAAAACCCTCTCTGGAACCTTACTGATGTTGACCGGACGCTGGTACCCAAAGTCCGGTCATTTCTCTGTTCAGTGTCCGGTCACACTCTAACTATTATTGCCGATCAAATGAACTAATCGGACTCTCCAAGCTATGTCCGATCACAACCAAACCAGCGTCCGGTCAGTCATTTGACCCTCCATTCACTTTCACTTCAAAATCCTTTGTGAATGAAGTTGACTTCTATCGATCTTAGGGCTATTCTTGAGCTACCTAGTGCTAAGTTTGACAAGTGTGCATCACACCTAATCCATTAGACTCACCTAGGCCAAGCTACTAGTCCATATCCCCCTTAATAGTATGGCCAAAGGAAAAACATAGTCCTAAACTACTCTAAGTGTCTCTTCAATGCCAAATGACACTTAAAACTAGTCCATCCTTAACCTTATCGTCCATCCTTTGAAAACCGAAATGATTTCCATCGATAGGGGCATGACAACCATGATTGCTCAATCAATTTCCATTACCATGACCTAACTCAAATTGCCTCTACAAAACATACGTTAGTCATAGTAATCTCGTGTCATCATTAATCACCAAAACCCAACTAGGGGCCTAGATGCTTTCAATTTCATCCTTTTTAGTGATTGATGATAACACAACCTCGAGTATGTAAAAGAGATGAGTGAGATTTTCATCATGCTTGGTTCATATAAGCATTTGACAATAAGAATAAAGGAGTTAGGCATGCTTATATGACCCAAGCCAACATGGTGTACTCAAAAGATATGAATTAAGCATGAGTACATGAAGTAAAGCTCATTTGAATCAGAGTAAAATGTGGAAGCAAAGCAAATGAGCATAACCAAGTGACATGACATATACATATATCAATGTAGAGAGCACACATGTCACATAAGTCTCACCATCACATGTATATAATACAATGCATAAAAGTAAATGTGAAAGCATGAAGTATCACACACAAAAGACCAAAAGAATCAAATCGAGTCCATCTCACACGCTCCCCCTAAATCTAACATACTCGCTCCCTCTCCCTCTTTGGCGTCAAGCACCAAAACTTAAGGGTCGGATGGTGGGACAGGAGCAGTCGAGTCGGGCACTGAGGTGCGGTGAGAGATCTAGAACTAAGCCGCATCATCCTCTGACCCTGAACTCTGAGTGGTCTAACCCTCTATCGCTGGAAGAGAAGGTGAAGCGGTCTAGGTCTGCTCATTAACTAGCACGGCATGTGACTCTGGTGGTGTCACTGTAGGAAGTGGAGCCACAACTATCGCTGTCGTTGAAGCCTCAAGTGTAGGAGTGACTGTCTGAGGTGGCTCGGACGATGCAACAGATGACAAAATCATCTCGGTAGTCCTAGTAACTGGAGTAGCTATGGTAGGGATAGAGACTCAGAACTCTGGAGGTGTAGGCTACCCTATAAGCTCACTGAAGGTAGCACCGAGACTCCTAGAGACTTGGGTGTGTGTCACTAACGCCGAAGAAGTCTGAGTCAGAGTGAAGCCCATAACAATAGGAGTAAAGTGAGGACCCTGCACAATCACTGGTGAAGCAAACCACTATGACACCTGCTCTGTAGGTGAAGCAAACTGAGTAGCTGGTTGTCCCTGACTCTGAAGCCCACTAGGCTGTATAGCGGGAGTCACTAGAGTGGTAGTAGCAGGCTAACCTATCTGTAAGGTGGACTGGTGAGGAGCAACCCCTATAGTGGTGAAGACATGCTGCATGAAGCCAAGTAACTGCTGCTGAATCACAAGCTGTTACTGCTGCTAAAACTGATCCTATCATGCCTGAACCTAAGCAAGTGCAACGGCGATCTCCTATGCCTAGCATGCCTGATCCTACCTCATCCGCTCAAGTACAGCTAGGAGTGTTGGGTTTGTCTGTGGTGGCTATGGTGGAGCTAAGCTAGAGCCACTGGCCTCTCTATCGTGTGGATGAGGTGCCATCTACGGAATCGGCCGATAGTCATCGTCTGAGCTATCACTCGGGTCACTCTCGACCTCATCCTCCTGCTGTGAATCAAGCTCCTCCTCTGTCTCAGCAATAGCCCTAATGGCCTCATTCTACTCAGCTATTGTCTCTAGCACCTCTAGGTGATGGCTCGGCTGGCGAGGTGTCCTCGCACAACTATGACGTAGCATCTAGCTCATGTCATACTGAGAAAACTCAGTGGTAGCACCTGTCCACTTTGCCATTGTCTCTGGGGACTTGTGTGGAACTACCTTTCGAAGTAGGGAAGTGATCCAATGAGCATAAGGCAGCTAATGGTGACCTCTAAAGCCCTTTGTTAGTGTGTCCTTCATCTCTAAAAGCATCACATCCCAAATATCAAAGATAGTCTGAGAAACCAGGTAATGCACTAGCCACAGCTGAATACGAGTTAGGACCTCGTGGTAGCCCATCCTCGGGAGCAGAGTCCTCCTCATAATAGCATCAAGGAGCCAAGCTATAGGTGTAAGGTCACGTGGTGTCCTGCTTGACCCCTTGCCAAACAACTCTGTGAAGCACAGTCTAACAAGATCTATAGGTGGCACAAGTCTACCGTGAGGGCATCTCAAAGACTCTGTCTATCTATAGCATACCTCATGAAGGTGAATAGGTGACTCTAGAATCCTCAGTATCTCTCTAACCCTCAATCTCTAGAGCCTGTAGTCATGGCCTTTGAAAGCAAAGTGAATAAACCTATGCCTCGGATCAATCCATAGAGAGGAGTAGAACTCACGAACCCATGATAGAACATAGCGACCAGTCCATCCAAGAAGATCTGTCAAGTCTGGTAGATAGGTGAGGTGAGGACGGATCTGCTCGCCTACAGCTGCAACTAGAGACTCTAAGGAGCAGACCCGCTGAGATCTGAAGGCAACACCGTTGTTGAGATAAGCATGATAGAAATCCTCCTACATCATGGTGTAGAAGTGCTCTAACGCACGCTCATCCTGCCTCGGCAGAAATCAATCCTCAAACTATACAAACCATAGCTGCTGCACCTATCTGGCTATGGCTGCCCTCAGGTCATGGTGTACCACCAAAGGCAGACCCTATGGTCTGGGAGGTGGACGAGAGCCCTGCCTCTATGTCTAAGGCCTCGGTGACACCTGAGTGCATGTGCGACTAGAGCATCAAAGCTATGGTTGTGCTGCCTGCTCTACCTCCTCAACCTGCTCTCCCTGCTAAGCGTCCTCTGTCTGCTCTGTCGGCTGCCCTATCTCCCCCTGAGTCTGAGAACCCTCTGGTGCAT